TCCAAGAAGCAAGGACGTAAACACAAAAATAAAAATTCCTTTCTCATGAAGAAACTTTATATTTCTTAAAAATGACTTCTTAAATTTGCATATTTACCCACTATGTTCTTCAATATTGACGTTGCATAGTGAATAATCTGTTGATAATTCCTAATACAATGTTTTGATGAAATTGTCAACATTTTAATTTACATTTATCAAGATTAAATGAAGATTATTTATTTCAAAATTCAAGATAAACATGTAAATTATTTAAAAAAACGCTGCTTTAGTACTGAAAAATTTAAGTTTATTAGAATGAATTATCGCTACATCAGACTTATAAAAGTTTTATCAAACTATGAAGTCGCGAAAATTAATTCATATAGAATAGAACAATTTTATATTCTCAACTTTATATTTTTGATCTTTTCGATAGGAATTACAGTTCATCCACCAGTGTTTTCGTTTTAAATCTAATAATCTAACAAACAGTTGTTTGTTTAAAAAAGATTTTTCATTTTTTTCTTCATCGTTTAGAAAGATCAAATAAACTTAAGGTTATTTGGTTTGCAATAATTATTTGACTAATTTTTTAAGCGTTCGTATTTAAATCGTAAATGTTGCAAGTGTGTTTTTGCAAAAAATTTCTTAAAATTCTTTTTATTCATATTCAATGCCATTCAACATTCGAAAATAATAATATCGAATACTTTTTTAAACCACTAAGCATTTTCGATAAACGATTTCCTTTATAATTAAATGTCCATTTATTATAAACTCATTGTAAAGGTACTTTCATGGTTGCTAAGTCAGCTGAATGGTTTTTGCAGAGAGAGATTCATGCCAACCTATATATATATATACTGATTTTTTGCATCTGCAACGAAGCCAAAAATAACTCTTTCATTTTATTCTCGTTATTTTATTTAAATTTTTAATGGAATGAAGAATGAAGAAAAAATTCTATGAAATCTTCACCGTTCGAGTAAAGTAGTAAATAAAGTTAAAATCAGATCAATTGATTTGATATTTGATAAATATATTATCAAAAAATTTTCTCAATTCAATAAAGTATTAAAATTTTTACTGTTTATCTGCTATAATTTACCATTCAAGCAAAAATTTTTTTCAGGAAGCTCTTTGATAAATTCAGCTATTAGAAATGGGAATAATTATTGTATGTTGAGGATTAAACCTTTTTATACTTTTATAACCATAACCAATTAAAATGGGGTTTAGAAATGAATTAATTAAAATTATCATTAAAAGAGACATTAAGAATTATCATAAATTATCGTTAGAGGAAAAATGAAAAATTTGAGAAATATTATAGAAATCGCCAATGTTCGTGAGATTGTAACATTGCAACATATTTAATTCTATCACATGAAGAATGAACTTCCTACTTTGGTTGCAAATGATCATTTAAAGGCCTAAGAGAAGACTTTCCAAGTTTGAAATGATTCTCTGAAATTTATATTTATAGCCTAGTCTTAATTTAAAAATTATTGGCCCTTTATAAATATATCAAACTTCTATCGCATCCGTTTTTTTTTACATTATACGATGTTTATTCAGTGAATTTCAGCAAAAATAACTACTTTAAAAGATTTTTGATTTGTAGAAAAAGTTAAACCTTCGAAATTTGTGCTATCATTGATATCTTACGTTTAGTTTTTTAGACTATTTTAGACTGCAAAATCTCATCATAAGATTTAGAACAGTGGCGAGTTTTGGCAAAATTCCTTTTTGCGAAATGAGAAACGAAAAATTCGCGACCTGAATATGCGCTTCTATATGAAATTAAAAATTAGAAACAATAAATAAAATAAAATAAAGCAAAATTGAATAATACAAAAAAAAGAATTTGAAATTTTTAAAGAATAGAGCTAATTTTATTCATTACAACACTTTCTATTTTATTTCTTTTAAAGAAAATATTCAGCTAATTTTAATTTTTAAAAATCACTTTAATACAACGATATTTGTATTGCCTTACTCACAATTGTTTTATAATAGAAGCTTTGACATTGTGAATTTTTAAAGTTGAAAATGAGCTTTTTTAGCAAATCAAATTTGAGATTTTTTTCAAAAAATGGCTTAATGGCTTTGCATCAAAATAAATTTAATAAATTCATTAAAAAATGATAAGGAATTGAGAATCAACAAATTTGTAAGCGACAAATTTTCAAGAAAAAAATTGGTTTAAGACGAATGACGTATGCAGGCTTAATTACATCACAATTCGCTTTATAATCTTAAAAGTTGAAATCAAGGCTGATAAAGTTTTACTGATTGTTGAAACCACTCAATATGTAGTTTTACGCACTAAATTTTCATCGAGTTTCTCATCCGAAAATTAAACAACGCGAAATTTTAAGAGTTTTTTAACTCCTTTAGGACGATCGGATTCTAAAATGGGAATTCTATGATGGTGTTTTTTGGTTGATAACTCACCGCATAATTCTGCCCAAAAGCCAACAGTTATTCTTCCATTCGTCCAGCTGAAATTTATAAAAAAAAAAAAAGATGTAAGAGCATGTAATAATAAAAGTAATAAAAACAAAATAAAGGGTAAAAATACGAGCAATATAATGTGATGAAAAAAAAGATCGCTTCAGATGCGCATTTTTTCCAAATATCTATTGTTCCTCATAGTAGAATCTAAATCTTTCCAGAATTAATAGCGTAAGGGCAATTTATGCAAGCTATTGCGAATCACTGCTTTCTGATAGAACAATTAGTAAAAACAATTTTTACCAAACAAGGACATATGTGATAAACATATGATAGACTGATAACGAGCGTTGCAACAAAACCATGAAATAATGAGATAAAAAATAAGAAGACAAAATAAATATAATGAATATAGTATCTGATATATATGAGGCACTGATCGTGATATAAAAATCTTTTCTTCCTCTTATCATGATTTTCCCATAAAATTTTTTTTTATTTATTATTTTCATATTGTATATCGAATAATTAGATTAAATTTCCTCTTCACATAAATGTCAACAAATACTTTGTTAAACGAACTGAACTATCACATAGCAAACATATTAGAGGAGTAGGCAAAGACAGGCTATTCAAAAAGGGCCAAAAGAAGTGATAAAAAGGTGATAACATTATATTACCTATAAACTTACAGAAATATACAATATACAAAATATGGAAAGAAAAATTATTCAAAACGGTTATTTTAACAAAAACAAAACAAGAAAACAACATATAGCACCTTTCTATTTTGTGAACAATTCCATCAAATTTTGTAAATTGTTGAGAATCTGTTGAATATTTTCGTAATATTCATTGGAAAAATAAGGTAAACTCATATTCTTCTACTTCATTTCTTTTGATAAGTATAATCAAGACGACGATTAAGATAATTGCCAAAGGAATGAAGCAACAACCCAATACTTTCCTCATAGTAGAACCTAAATCTTTCCAGAATTATTTTAATAAAATTCTTTAAGGAATTGCAATTTCAAAAATTAATTTGATAAATTCGTTAAAAATATCAAAAATATAGACTAATAAATAAAAAATTTTTGATTGATAAGCGAAGCAAACAATTTAGGATTGCTATTTTTCATTTTCGATAATATGACTTCCTGATTATTATAAATATTAATATAAAAATTTAAATAGCATTTATGAAATTTAATTGCGTCTTAAAATAGAGATTTACATTAATGAATTTGTTAAGGAAAAAACTATCTCTTCTAGGATAATTACTGATAAAAGCGAGTAAAATTCTTGAAACTTCAGTTTTTGGAAGATCTCTAGCCATATATAGAAAATTTATAAAAATTCGTTAAAAATATCAATTTTTCTGTATATTTTTCTACGTAGAAATCCATTAAAGAAATAAAATTCAGGATTCATAGCGTTAATATTTGGCCAGTAAGAGAAATCACTGAAAGGACAGGACAGGTCTAAAACGCAGATAATTTTTCAATTTTTTTTGCTAATTTAATACTAATTCTAGACAATATCTTCTTACTTCAAGTTATTAGATGAACCTATAAAATATTCATAAGACTTGCCTTTTCCTGCTGTTGATTTTAATTTTTTATATAGTTTTTTCAGATATTGTTTTGATTTTAATCGAAGATTCTCTGAAAATAGGTATGTATGATAACTACATATCACAAATTAGAATTTACGCTTAGAAAAATCTCGAAATTAAGGCAAAAATTTAACCAAGAAGTTTGCATGTATCGAATGCATGCGAATGATTCCACAAACATCTCTTTCTGCAGCTACAGCTAACTCCAAAAAAATTAGACTGAATTAGATGCTTGAACTGCTTTCCAAATCGACTTTTAACTTGGTTATGTCTTATTTTATAGTATATTTTAAAATTTCATTGCTACGAGAAAAAAATTTTTTAAAACTAAGATTGGCATTAAGTAGGCTATTAAGCACTGCTATTATCCGCTATCCCCGTTATCCGCTTCTTGCATGAGATTGGTGAGGCAAAAAACATATTGAAAAAATGAGCTACTATTGGATAAATAAACTAAATCGACCATAGCTAGAAGCTGTGTTTAGAATGAATGCGAATACTTTTTAAGACTTACTTTTTATGACAGGACTGTTGTCATTCATTGGAAAATTAGAGATTACAGGCGCTGATAAGTAATAAAAATTTAGCACTGAAAATTCAGTTCTTCACTGTAAATTGATTAACTAATTAGAACTTACCAGTTAATTAAGGACAGATTTATCAGATTCCTCTTATTGGCTTTATCAAAAATATTCTTCTATCGTAATTTCTTGTTGAAATTTATTTTTAAAAGTCATAATTCATTTAAGAAAATAGTGAAATAAGAAACACTATCATTATCAGGCATAAATCGCCTTTTATTGCCCCAGGGCGCGATGAAAATACAACTTTCGCTTCTTGCATAAAAGCCACCTTATATAAAATTATTGAACAGTTTCAAATTTCATTGGGTACTTTAGTCAAAAACTCGAAGTATGAAATAATTGTATTATTCATCATAATCGCCTTATTGCTTACCGAAACTAATCCAAAGAAAAATAGGCAAACAATCACAAACAAGTAATTCACGTGAAGCTGTAAGGTATTCAAATAATTTGTAACAGTATTTCGCAAATGTTTTTTATTTCTAATACAAAAAACTACTTTGGTTACAAAGATGAGCCATTTAAAAAGATAAAAAAGATATTTGTTATCAAAAATTGTTTAATAATTAATTCATTGCTCATTTTACTTACTATTATTGCATAATATTTATTAAATATTTATGTTAAATATTCAACATTATACTAAAATAATTTATTAAATATCTTCTGGGTTTTTAAAAAGTATGCTCGAATAAAAAAGCATTTTTAGTAGTTATTTCAACAATTCGATAGATTTCTGATTTCGTCTATTAAATTAAATATTTAAATAAAATACTACCTTCATCAGTAAAATCTGCTGAAGCTCGACTAGATCGTTCTGTTTCGGAGCTATCCGCAGGATCTGGAGGCGTTGAGATCGAAAAAACCACTGGAACATTAGAATTAGAAACCACTGGAGCATTGGAATTAGATTCTTGAATTGGCATCAATATCAGCTTAATATATAACAAGTTAAATAAGCAAGCAAAATGATATTTTTTATTATTAACGTCAATATTCCAATAAAACGACATTAATGAAGATATTTAGCCGTTTGTAAAAATAATTATCGAATCTAATTTGAAGGCTAATTTCATCCATGAAATTGATCCTCGAAAGCTTTAAACTTATGTTTGTTAAAAATTCCAGAAAGAAAAACACATAGACTGGAAAATTTTAAATTTAACATATGATTGCTTTTAACTTAATTTTATTTTTTTTTTATTTTGAGCTATTGACAGTATATTTATTATCAAAATGTATCTTCCTCATCTTCACCACTAATTGGAAAATTCTCAGTTCAAAAGAGTTACCTATACCTTAGATGAATGAAACGGAAAACTGAAAAATGTGAAGCAGAAATAAAAGTGGTTTGTAGCCGAAAAATCTGGTTTTACTGGGGGCGGAATCAACTACTCGATTTGAACATTATAAAACCGTATACGGCGAAGATTAAACGAACCGATCGAACAGTTTATTCGTTTAAATGATCTCAAATTAATAATGCCAATTAGGTTTTTCGATGAAAAATCGCGAAAATGGAAACTCTTAAAATCGCTGTTTCTATTTAACTTAACTGAGCACATGTCTACGCTGTTGTTTATTGCTTTAAGCATTGATAGCCATTTTCAATATAAGAAAACTTTTTAAAAATTTATTTCTCAAATGATAAATTATAAAATGAAAATCGATAGAATAAAATAAAATAAAAAGGAATAAAATCAGATAAAGAAATGAAACCAACAAAATATTTAAAGAATTATTTCAATTTAAAATTTCGAGAAAATAGCAAAAAGAGTAGAAATAAAGAATGATCAAATTTTAAAACTAACAATTAATATACATAAATAAAAGATTATAGTAGTTCGCTGAAATGAATACATAAAATGGAGTACTCATTTCAAAATTATATAGCATAAATATATTAAATTAATAAATAAATTAAACAAATAAATTAATTTGAATCATTGTAAATGATAAAATATATTTATTCATTCGAAAATTTGCAATTTATCAGCTTTATCAGTTTTCTATAGTTTTAAGAGTTCATAAAACATTTTATCAACACTGGTTGATTAATCGGCTTGATAAAATTTTTTCCCCTCCTTTTATTTAGATTATTTTTTCTCTTCTTTATTAAAATAAGTATTGATAAAAAATTAAAATAATAAAAATAATTTTTTTATTTTTTCTACAGAGTATTCATGATGAACAGTACGTGCACTGCTGAAAAATAATTTATAAAATATCCTAATCATATCATATAATTGAGATGAATGTGAATTGCTGAAATGGTTGCTGAATCGGAGCTTGAAATAATCCTCTGAAAGTTATATTAATAGCCTAATCTTAATTTAAAAAATATTGTCCCTTAAATTGTCATCATCTTCAATTCTTCATCTTTAACCCACTAATATGCTATAGATTCTTTTATTTTTCATTCAATAAAATTATTCTGCATTTCTGATTCGCGCATTGCAAAGATTTCATTTCTTATATAATACTACAAGTGTATGTTTATTTGTGAATTTTTGAAAAAAAAGTTTTTAGAAATATTTAGAATGCTAAATGTATGGAAGCAATAATTACAAAATGAAGGCTGTATAAAATTGAAAAAATAAGAAATTAGCTTAGAAATATTTTCCACTAAAGCTGCTATTCCACTAAAGCTGTTTCGGAAAAAACAGAATAATATGGTCGTCTAGTGCTTGAACCGGGATCAAGCATTCTATTTCTATTCCTGCATGAGTTATCAAAAATTAAATCGGAGCCTGTTGTGCACACATTTATCTCTAACTAAAGGGTCTCAACCTAACAATCAGCTCAATCAACCAAAAATATTACAAATGCTATTAGACGAAGAGAAAAAATTGTCGACATGTAACAAACTTTATTATAGCAGGTGGGCCATCCTGCAAATAAGAATTAAGGCGAAATATTTATGATATTTGTCATAACAAAAGTCATAGACCAATTAGTATATTTCATTAAGGCATTCAGCGGATAAAATTCGATAGTTTTACTTATATTTAACATAGTATTTATTAATTTAATAAGAATTGGTAAAGATTTACGAAACAATTATTGAAAAATTTTGAACAACTTCAATATCTTTAAGCTTTTGAAATATAAAACTATGAGTTACAGTAATTTGAGTCGATTTAAGAGAAAATTGAGATATCTAACTAGGACTAACAGCAAAATGGTTGCTTGATTGAATTAGCACTTGAAAACAGAGACGATTGTTGACAATTTAAGGCTGATTATAAGCGTATAACAAATGAGCTATAGTCGGCTAAAAGAAAAGGAAAAGATTTCAACGAGTATACATTAACTAACAATAGACGACTAATCGACGACGCTAGATAGCCTCAGGAACCAATCTCAGCAGATAAGAAAGCTGCAACCAGAGCAATTTAATGACAATCCAAACGGAAGAATTCAACACCAGTAAGAGCCAATCAGCTTTGTCAATGAGATGAGTCTTCAAGCACTTTTATTTTCTACCCCGATCATTACTGATTGCTATCCATCCTAACTAACTATTAACCAAATTGTTTCACACAAAATCTTGTTTCCAATCGTCAATAATTTCTTTTATTTTCCTAGTGACATCCTATCTTCTCCTGTATATTCTTTTATCATTTTATATAAAAATTTTTCTTTTATGAACCTTGTAATAATTCCACAAATATTTAAGAAATTCTTTTATTGTCAATCTTCAATAAAACTATGTTTTCGGTTAAAAATTTATCATTTTTTTGCTATCCATGTCTCATTGCGTGAAAAGCTTTATTTCAAGAATTCATATTGTCATTTTCATGAGATTTACATAGAATTTCGATACTATATATAATATTTTTCTACACTAATTTAATTTTTTCGTTCTATTTACACCACATAAGTTCAAAAAGTCTATCAAAAATTTTTCAGGATATCAAGAAATTTAAAGTTATCTACTAAAAAATAATTTAGAATAATCAGAGTCGAACTGAAGAGTGCTCGATTATCGCCGAAAAAATGCTTAATGGGTACTTCAAGTCAAGAATTAGTAGTCAACAATTCGATGGAAACAAACATATTAGAAAATCTATGAAATCCTATTTTAATGATCGCTTTCTAGAACCACTCAATTGAATAAACAGTAGCAAATGAAATTTGAAATAATAGTAATATATCTCTCCTCAATAATTTTACTCTTAAGCCTCATGGATGTAATAATTTCTAGTACCCTTTTTAAAGAATCAAGTTATGGTGCCAAGTCTGCACGCTAATAAATATTCTAAGATCCTATTGCTATTGTTGTTTATTTTATCATTTTACCATGAATTTGCGAAAATTAACTTCTACAATCCATCTGCTATAAATATCTGAGAGATCCTTTTCATAGAATTTATATTTCTAGAACGGTTAAAAAATCATTTCATTTCTTACTTGAGTACTAATAGCTCATTCAATAGCAAATTAATAAGCCTCATTTTCCAAAAAGTGATCAGCTGGCAACTAAAAATATGATTATCAATATTAATGTAGTTCAGTTAAGGCTTATTTATAAAAGACATTGTTGCTTCAATGAAAACCTCTTATGCCCTGCAAGAAAGCTAACAAATCGAGCAGAAGCGTCTCTTTGAGCTCCTAAGATGCTACGTCAAGTATGTATTTATGATGCCAATATCCAGAAGATTCTTCTTCTTCTATATTAAATATTAATGTTTCAGATATATCTTTCTATTTTTATCTATTTGCTGTATAAAAAATTGGATACATTTTTGCCAGTTCATTATTATTTTTATAAAAAGTATTAATTAAATAAATTCAAACAATTTTTCGATTTATGGCAATGCTACATATTGCACATTAGAACCACTCTATCGTCAAAATTTCAAGGTTAAAATTTGATTAGATATTTCACCATTTAAGCACCATTATTACTTTTGCACCAATTTAATTGCTTTTCCCAGCCGACCTCGAAGCGAATTTCATTTGGTTTTTTGGTCTATAATTCTTCACTGTTATTTTTTGCCAATTTACCTCAGCCAAAATATTGCTGATTTTATAACAAATATTTTATTTTAGATTCACTTATTTATTTCGCTTAAATTGAGCCATTATTTTATTTTAGGATGATATCTGATCTGTTACGAGCAATGAAACCATCCTCAAAAATAGCCCTTAAAAGCAAAGAACCAGAAACACGTTTGGTTGAAAGCAATAAAAATGAACGATCAAATGAAGCCAAGTCGCATCTCACATCTGATTTCGCGATCACATCGATGAAAAAACAAAATTCTTTGCACCGATTTTCAGTCAGCGAGATATTATCTCCATTCGACAGTATTGGTAGTTAGTTGATTATTGGTTTTTGAAGAACTTAAGTCGAACAAGATAGGATGCTGAATGAATGGATGTTGGTTGCTATTGATAATTTATAAAATATTGAAAAAAAAATTTAAAATACAACTTAGAAGTGGGAATTAGCGATTGCAAAGCTAATTCAAAACCGAAAAAATTTCTTCTAAAATTTTCTCGCTAACAAATAAGTTTTAAGATTATAAAATATTGAGATTTCTGAAAAATTATCACAGATTACATTTACATTTTTTTTTTCGAAAAAATTCTGACCATTTAATCGATGATTCCCCACTCAATGAATCGCTATTTTCAACTATAATCTATATAGCCATGGAGAAAAAGGAAAAAAAAATGCCATATTTTCTCCTTTAGAATTTTTTAAAACCACAATTTTACGCGAATTTTAAAGCAATAGACTAAAAAAAGAAGATATCAGTTGTATAAATGGTAGCTGTCGAAATAATTTCGGTTTCGGTGAATTTCAGCCATTTTTTATAAATCCATTTTGTTCATCATGTCCACCAGAGGTTAATAGTTAATTACACCATGTCAGTATGGAATATTAATTTTTCACTAGTTCTCAAATAAATTTCCG